TGACCAATATTAAAATTTTGTCATAATTGTAATGCATTATAGTGATGATTTTTATCGAAAAAAACTTATTTTATCTATATGAACATTTTTTTTTACGAAATATATTTTTTATGATGAATTTTTTTGTTTATCATTAAATATATATACATCTGTGACTATTTTTTTAGATCTGTCACAATTGTGATAAGTTATAGTGATGATTTCAAAATTCATCACAAATTTCTGTCATCAAAAATCATTTTTCTTGTAGTGAATACTGTTTAAAAAAATTCGATAAATAAATTTTACATTTCATTAAAAGAAAAAATTAAAAGTGATGAAATGAAAAGTAACACCGCCCTAACATTATGATTTTTAAATGAAAGTTGGCGTCGAAGGTTGAAAATTGGAAAAAAGGAAAGAGAAAGTAGTATGATTTTCCAGGAAGGCCAAACACGGTTTTGTTGGCTGTCGCCAGTCGAAGCTTCGTAAGAATCCTAACCATCCTTGACCGCGACACCACACCAACCAAATAATAAATTTAAAAAAAATAAATAAATAAATAAAACAATTTTAAAAAATAAAAATAAACATGTCATCGTCCGTTTTCCTCGAGTCGAGACGCCTTTTATAAAGGAAGACTCGACGATCAACGCCCACCTCCCCTCTGCATTTCATCCTCCTCAATCGACAGCTGCTGCTCGGATCAGATCTCGATATTCATTGCTCCTCGCCTGTAAGTTCTGTTCTTCATCTATCTCTTAACGCCTCTTCTCGATCTCTTATCTGAAATGAATCGGAGATAGTAGTTTTCAGCTTTCCTGCTTAGATCTGGTCCACCTCTGAATTCTACAGCTAAGTTTTTGAATCTGCTGAGCTGACTCTGTCGTGGTAGTTCATCTCATCCGGATTTTGATGGATCTCCTTTTGTTTTATTAGATTTGGAAGTGGATTTTGATTCCAATTGATGAACGCTTTGATCTGATCTCTTGGATTCTTGAGTCTGTTAATCTTTGCAGTGTATAATTAGATTTTTTTTTCCCTTTTTGTTATATAAGGAAATGTTAGAAGAACGTAAATGTTTTAGGAATCATGAATTTGGTTATTCAGGGCAATTTGTTAAACTTGTGGTTGGTTGTAGAAGTACTGAAATGATTATGCAGGAGTCGTGTTCTTGAGCATCTGATGTTTGAGAATCTTTGAATACAACCTGCGAATGAATTATATTTGTATTTTGCTTTGCATATTTCTTCACTTTGCTTTTTACTAGTTGAGATGTGAATACTTGCCTGGGAAGCATTTGATAGGCATGATGTGAAGAACTTAACAAGTGCGTTGATGTTGTAATACTAGTTGCCTACTTCAGTCATATTATGAACTTTTGTGACTAATTACCATCAAGCCCAGGATTCGTTGTGGCCTTTTTCTGCCATCCTGCTTAATATGCAGGATAGATGTTGTTTCATGTTTGCATCTTGCCATCTATGGATGGGTTCAAGTGTCCATTAGAGGATGAATTTAAACTTGTTCCTTTACCTGACAGCTGATGGATTTCTCTCTCTTTGTTTTCCTGATATGCTAGACTCAAACATGGGGCTCTCATTCACCAAACTTTTCAGCCGGCTCTTTGCTAAGAAAGAGATGCGAATTCTGATGGTTGGTCTTGATGCTGCTGGTAAAACAACTATTTTGTACAAGCTCAAATTGGGTGAAATCGTTACTACCATCCCTACCATTGGTATGTTTCTTCTCATTTTTTAATTTAATTAGATGCTTACAAGTCTGCTTTTACTATTTCTATGTACATATCATAAATTTTTTCCCTACTTCTGCTCTTGGTTTGTTATTTGCTAGAATCATCTTTTGATAGACACTGTGGAAACTGTTGTAGCACACGGTACATTTTTTTGTTAAATATCTCAAATTTTGTGTCTTCTTATCAGTCTCTTACTTATACAAGTAATTACATGGGCCATTGGTAAAGACTTTAGTGGTTTTAAGTGTTCTGCAATAAAATGTAAGCAGTTAGAGTTCCAAACTTAAGTTTCTCATTGTTGTGAAGCACAACCACTGGTACAAACTTGAATAATGAAGCTATATTCTCCTTATCTACTAATACCCCTGAAAATTTAAATTGTTTTAGGCTTTTAATTCTCCCTCTTTTCTTTTCTTTTTTTTCTTTTTTTTTTCAGGGTTTAATGTGGAGACTGTGGAATACAAGAACATTAGCTTCACCGTCTGGGATGTTGGTGGTCAGGACAAGGTACATGACATTGCTGGTAGTAAAATTAGATGCATGCTAGTAACTTTTTAATTGGGCACTGTTTTCTTCTTTACAATTTTATGGGAGATTATTACTTTTTAATGCCTTGAAAACATGCCTAATTCAAGGTTCATAAGAGGTGATCTTGTTATTTACTGCTGTTTTTTCTTACACCTTATTGTGCTAGGTTTATTTTTATTATTGCTATTGTCTAGGGAAAGTAAATGGATGATGTTCATGGTTTAGATATGACACTTAAGGTGTTAGGTTTTTTGTTGCTGTGGGATTGCAAAATTAATATCCATTTTTCTGCAATCAACACCTCCATTGATGACTCGACTGAGTCTATCTTTTAATTGTTGTTTGATTTACTGTGATAGAGAATGTACACATCATGAGTTGTTTAGAATACTGTCTTTTTGGAAGTTTGATCAGTCTTATCATTTTTTTCCTTTCAGATTCGACCTTTGTGGAGGCACTACTTCCAAAACACACAAGGACTCATCTTTGTGGTTGACAGTAATGACAGAGATCGTGTTGTGGAGGCTAGAGATGAGCTGCACAGAATGCTGAATGAGGTATGAATAATTAAAAACTGACCATTCTTTCATTTGAATAAATTTTATATTGTCCGCAAAAGTGACTACTTAGAGAACCTTCTGAAAAATCTGTTGACTTTGTCTGGCAGGATGAATTAAGGGATGCTGTGCTGCTTGTGTTTGCAAACAAGCAGGATCTTCCAAATGCAATGAATGCGGCTGAGATCACAGATAAGCTTGGCCTTCATTCTCTGCGACAACGCCACTGGTAAAAATCCAAATCAATTGCCATTTTCATTTTCCCCTAACGTAAAGAAGAGGAAAGAATATCACAAAGCAACCTTTGTGAACATGAGCAACCACATGACACTCTGTTGATGTTATGCAGGTATATTCAGAGCACTTGTGCTACTTCCGGAGAGGGGCTGTACGAGGGATTGGACTGGCTTTCAAACAACATTGCTAGCAAGGTATGCTATAGGGACATTTACCAAACTTCTTATCCAACGCTTTGCAACCGTTCCTCAATGTTTGCTGATTGCATCCATAGTTTTTCATGTTATGCTAATTTCACTTCTCATTATTTCAGGTTTAGTGGATTTGGGCTGGTCATTTTCATAGTGTTTGGTTGAACCCCTCTCAGGAGTATAGATAGTTCAGCCATTATAATTTACAAGTTCTGCAGGTGTTTTTTTTGTTTTTTGTTTTTTGTTTTTTGTTTTTTGGTTTTTTCCCCTTCTAGATCCTGTTCTTTTAAAAAATTAAGTGGCAGGAAAGAAGATTCAGTTCTTTCCTTCCTTCCCACATTTTGTTTTACTTATGTACTGGTTGTGTTTCCAATCAATATAACTGTCTTGGCTGCAAAATAGTATTTCAACCATTTGAAGAATAGCGTACTTTGCCGTTCCGTTTCCCACACCCTTCCCCCCTCCCGCTCCCCCTCCCGCTCCCCGACCCTAATTCGTTAAACTACCAAATGGCGCAAACCATTGCTGGTGTAAGCTCGAATAATTGAAATTAAATCGAAAAATGAGCTTCAACTTGCTGTTTGGGATGACGTTGAGAATGACTGACGACCCCTCTGATTATCCAACCTGACCTGATTCTCCCCATCATATCTTATCTAAAACCGAAGTGATGATATATTGAGAATGAGTGAGAATTTTACCAGTGATGGAGAGGAGTGAGAAAGGGAAGTTAAGGGGGAGGGTATCTAAACACCATTACTGCGTTTCTTCTCTGAAAGCCCTTTTAACAAGTTAGCTGCAACGAAAACAAAGCGATAGCAAGATTGGAAAAACATAGAAGGCAAAATAATAAAAAGATATAATTTTGGAGATGCGGGGGATCGAACCCCGTGCCTCTCGCATGCAAAGCGAGCGCTCTACCATTTGAGCTACATCCCCTGTTGATCTAGTCAGTAAATTCTTTTAACATAATCATTTGCATCATAATGTATGGTAGATCATTCATTATCCAGCATCCACGGGCGCAACATGGATGAAGTGTTTGGAGCCCTGGAAGGCATCAATTAATGTTCAAGACAGCAAGCCCAGCAAACTGGAAACCTGCAGCTGCAGGTCATGAACTGGTGTTGAATACGTCTCCTAGGGTTACCAGTGAACAAGCGGAGGATATGTTCCCCGCTAGTTACCGCACTGTGGACACGCAAAATGTATATTAAATATCGATAGAGATTCATACATATATATCGGTTCACGCGTGAATGACAGTCTCTACCACCAAAAAAAAAAAGAAGTGCATGATTTAAGGAATTTAACCTTTATCGATAATTGTTCCAATTGGAAGACAGATATATATTGGAGAAGACAGACAATGGATCGGAATTCGGACACGGCTAATTGGCTTCGGAATTCGCATCCATTTTTTTCAACATGTGGATCCCATCTCCGTCCATTGGTCAAAAAGTGCTAATGACCTTTTGGAGTAAATCTTGGCCCTTTCCAAACTTTATTGTAAAGGGTAGTAAAACAGAGTACCTTGCTTCACCCAAAGTTGCCGAGTTCTACTCAGCAAGCAGGAAAAAATGTGTTCTCTCTGGTGTTCCTTTGTGCTCTTCACGCTAGCAGTAGTGCTTCATTCACTACATGAACTAAGAGCTACTCCTTGCCGCACCTCCTGTGGCGCCATTGCCATAAACTACCCATTTGGCATTGACGATGGCTGCGGCGCCCCCCAGTTCCGCCACATGTTCAATTGCAGCACCGACTTGTTCTTCATTACCCCTTCCGGCAACTACAAAGTTCAATCCATTGACTACCAGAAGAAGATTGTGGTAATCTACGATCCTGCCATGTCCACGTGCTCCATTCTCCAACCCCATCACGACTTCATGATGACGGAAGTCCAGTCTGCAATAATCATTCCCACTTCCGACACCGTCTTCACTCTCTTGAACTGCTCCATCGACTCTCCGGTGCTCAACCACTACAAGAATCTCTGTTTTAGCTTCGCCGGTCACACTTGTGACGAACTCTACGGTGCCTGCAATGCGTTCAGGGTTTTCCACTTGCTAACGAACAGTTCCCCGCCGTGTTGTTTTACAGGGTACGATACTGTTAAGTACATGAGCATGAATATTTTGGACTGCACACATTATACTACTGTAATCAACACCGATAGTTTGAAGGGCGTCGGACCATTGGATTGGGTGTATGGGATCAAACTGTCGTACTCGGTGCCAGACACCGGATGTGAACGGTGCACAAAGTCCGGCGGCACCTGTGGGTTTGACACAGAGACTGAAGGAATGATGTGCCTCTGTTCCGCTATTACAAATGCTACTAGAGAATGCGGTAAGGCTCGAGCATTTTTCTTTAGTAAATTAGATTTAGTTATACCATGAAGAGGAATTTAATCAAATTGATATATTTTGTGTGTTCAGCTGCAGGTGTTCTTGCAGATGGAGGAGGAGGGCAGGCTTTGAAGGAGTGCTGTTTTTTGGCATTTCAATTTGTAATTGGAGCATTTGTTTTCATGATTTTAGGATGGTCAAAAAGGGTGTTTTATTACTGAGCCTTCGGATCAAGTGGCAGTAACCACCTCACGGTGCACTCTCACCTTTTCTTGAGCTGGGGTTCGACCCAGCTCCTTATCAACTTGTTAAAAAAAGGGTGTTTTAGTTTTGCATTTTTCAACTTTGTTGAAAATCAACTTCCGTTCTTTATTTAGTTGAATGAAATCAATCTGCCGAAAAGGTGTTTTAGTTGCTGTATTTTTCGATGTTATTGAAATTACTCCCTTTCTTTATTTAGTTGAATGAGGTAAACCCTTACACATTCGAATTATATTTGCAAAAATTTAGCAGTTGAGGTAAACAAACGTCAACATTTAGTAAAAACCATTGCACACTTGTTATCTCAAGGATAAGTTGGAAAAGGCATGGCCCATTTAATTTTACGCGGCAAAAAGTGGCGATGTGTACTCAAAGATGAGAATCCAACCACGCAATATCTCTTTTTTATGATGAAGCATGGGGGTAAAGATGACCCTGGTGTTACCTTATCATCATCATTCTTTTCTTTCTTTCTCCTAATTACGATGGGCTCAAACGGTGCCGTTTCCTAACAACAGGACCCATCCCACCGAAATGAATCTGCACCACTTTTCAAATAAGGCTTTATTTACTGTACGTTTAGGTTAAGGAATGGAAAAGGAAAATTTTTTTTATTTAATTATAAAAAAAATTAAAGAAAAATAAGGGAGAAAATTTTCTTTTATTTTATTTTTTAAAAATTTATTTACTTGCCTAAATTAAGAAAATGGAGGAGAATATATCCTTTCCTCTTCTCAACTCAAAAATAGTTAGTGTGATGGTAGTTTTTAACTTTTATAAATTCTATAATTTTAAATTAAAAATTAGTTTAACTTCATATTTATTTGTTAAAATATCATTATAATTGGTAAAGAAATAAAAATAAAAATAGTTTTAGTTTTGATGTTATTGTTGAAATTTATTTTAAACAAATAATTAATTTTTGGTTTTTAATAATTATGAAATTTGTGAAAATCAAATAAAAAACTAAAAACTATAACTAACATATTAAATTGAACCTAAGGCTCTATTTAGTATGGATTTAATTTTGAGCTTTTTGTTTTAGTTTTAAAAAGTTTAAAAACTTTAAAATAAAATTAAAAAGTTTTATAAATTAATTAAATTTGAAGTTTTGAGTGTTGATTTTAGAAAGTTATACTTAATAAATTGTCAATTTTAATTTTAATTTTTAATTATTTACATTTTAAAAATTAAAATCAAAAATCAAAAATTAGATTATACTAAAGAGAGACTAAGGTTTTGTTTAGTATAATCGCAGTTTCAAGTTTTCATTTTTAATTTTTAAAATTCAAATAATCAAAATTAACAACTAAAAACTAAATTAATTGGGTTTAATATTTTAAAATAAATATCTAAAACTCCAAACTTAATTAATTTATAAAATTATTTGATTTTATTTTAAATTTTCTAAATTTTTAAAAATTAAAATTAAAAACTCAAAATTACAATCACATTGAACAAAATCTAAATAAATGAAAATTGAACTGTGATGCCGCTAGCAAGGCTAGCATAAGTATGAGACTAGCATAAGTATGAGACTTTGGTAGGCATCCATTATCGCAAAGTACTTTTCTTATTGCCAAAATTATAATTGCCTTTTATGTTTATCCCAAAATCAAAACCATGGCCCATCTGTATTTATGGTCCAAATTTTTTTCATCATTCTGGACCCATTAAAGCGTTAAAACAACGTTTGAATCCAAAGCCCACCCTCAATTAAACCCCTTTTCCAAAAATTGGATCCAAAATTCCAGATCGCACCCAAATCATTTCCCCGCTTTATAACGTCACCCTTCTAACCACTCTCCTCTCGCCACGTCAACAAAAATCTGTTTTGAAAATCCGTCACCCAAGTCCACTTAAATTTTTATTTAAAACATTCAGGACCATTTCCTAAAAACGACAATTTCACTTTGAAAAGGAGCGGGCTACAGCCTACAGGTCATCACTCGTCACTCTTCAGAATTGCAGCTTCCTATCCTTCATCCAAATTTCAAAATCTAAGCTGCTTCCCTTCTCATTTCCATCTTCATCCAAAACTTTCGATTTTGGTTTCAATTTCTGAACCAGAGAGCTATGGCTTCTGTTATCCTTTTTTAGTAAGGATCAGAGTTTTCGTTAGCTGTTTGGCCTCTCAGATTCGACGATGTCGAGAGATGCTTCCAGTTCTCGATTCGTTCCCCGGGATGCCCTGCGTAACGCGCAACACGAAGCGAACGAGAACGAGTTCGAATGCTCGCCGGACCAAGCTCATTTTCCACCGCCGAGGACTCCTCTCAACGCAATCGTAGATCCGTCTCAGTGCCAGAAAGAGAAACAAAGCCAACAATGCGATTTCTACTCCAAGGATAAATCCGAATCTGCTAAACCTGATAGAAAATCGGAAATGCTAAACCTGAATCTGATAAATGCTGCTTACAGAGGGGTAAGTCGTCATGGAAAGGTTCATTCTGAGCCGAATTCGGCGCATAGTACTCCGGCGAGGAGTAGTTCGAGAATGTCGCTCGGTGGAGGAGTTTCTGCTGGGAGTAGAGTTACTGAGGTGTTTGGAGGGAGCGGAGTGAACTCCAGCTCTTCTTCTAGAGTCTCGAGAAGGATTTCGATGATTGATACTTCTGATTTGTGCATTAATGTTCCACATTTCGAGCTTGATGAGGATGCTTCCTTTTGGACTGATCACAATGTTCAGGTCTGTAAGTTAATTAGACTCCAATTCATACACTGATTGTTATTTTAAGAATTTTTCCACTCCAATTCAGTGCTGTAACTCTTTACATTTGTTTATGGTGCCAATTTCGACCAAAGTCATTATGGTTTGCATTTGTGTATTTATCTATTTACATGATGAAAAGTTCAGGTGTTGATAAGGATTCGGCCATTAAGTACCATAGAGAGGGTTTCACGAGGTTATGGCCGGTGTTTGAGGCAGGAGAGTGCACAGACTTTACTGTGGCTTGGACATCCTGAGACCAGATTTACCTTTGATCATGTAGCTTGTGAGACCATATCACAGGTACAGGTTTTGTCTAATGTAATTATGTAATAGCTATGAAGAATTAGAATGCATTGCTTCCACATAGAAGGTTGATTGAAACAGTTTTGTCAGGTTCATTTAATTGTTAGTGTTAGATGCTAGATACTAAAACTTAAGCTTTCATTTTCTTTTGGGTTGCATGTATAGTTATCAGTAATTGCTTGATTTCTGTAGGAAAAGCTATTCAGGGTGGCTGGCCTGCCCATGGTAGAGAACTGTATGTCTGGTTATAATAGCTGTATGTTTGCCTATGGTCAGGTAATTCATACTGTATTTGTTCATGTTCAGTTTTTCTTCTTTTGTGCTCTGTCATGACTTTTTTGAAGTTGTTGACTTTTTGTAAACTTTTACATGCAGACAGGTAGTGGCAAAACATACACCATGATGGGGGACATAAATATTGTAGAAGGCAATCTCCATGACGATTGTGGGATAACCCCTCGTATATTTGAATATTTATTTTCAAGGATAAGAAAGGTCTGATGCATGATATTTTGACTATATTGATTGATATTAATTTTCCTGGTATTTTGTTCAGATTATAGGTGGGGAGTATCTCATTTGAATTGGTATTTTTAGGAAGAAGAGAACAGGAAGGATGAGAGGTTGAAGTTTAGTTGCAAATGTTCCTTTCTGGAGATATACAATGAGCAAATTACAGATCTTTTGGAGCCTTCATCAACCAATCTGCAGGTAATTAAGGCTTTTTATTCGTTTTCTTATTGGTTGATCAATGATCCATCCATATTGGACTTTAAAGGTCATAAACCTGACTTTTTTCTTGTAGCTCAGAGAAGACTTGAAGAAAGGAGTATATGTGGAAAATCTTAAAGAATATAACGTGCGGACTGTAAATGATGTTGTGAAGCTTCTTTTGCAGGTGAATTTTAGTGGTGATTGTATGTGCATCTTTAGTATTCTCCATGAATTAGAGTGAACATGATTGTTGTGGTTGTATTTCACACAGGGTGCTGCAAACAGAAAAATGGCTCCAACTTGTATGAACAGTGAGAGCAGCCGATCCCATAGTGTGTTCACTTGTATAATTGAAAGTCATTGGGAGAAAGATTCTATGACCCACTTTAGATTTGCAAGGTTAAATTTAGTGGATTTAGCTGGTTCTGAAAGGTAACTGTTCTTTCTATGTAAAACCTTGTATTTTTGCTTTTCCCAAATGCTGAAATAACTTGCTCAGGATTCAGGCAGAAGAGCTCTGGTGCGGAAGGAGATCGTCTGAAAGAAGCAGCAAACATAAACAAATCCTTGTCAACTCTAGGGTAAGTCTGAGACTTCTTTCCTCAATCAGATTGCTCCAAGGCTATATTTCAGCATCTCTTTGATGACTGTTTCCCCTGTTTTGCCACAGCTCATGCTGTCAATGTTAAACATTTCAGTTGCACCAATGTCATGTATTTTTTTGCCATGTCTTATTTGGAATGGCAAAAGATACTTGTCTGACAGTGGTTGATCTAAATTTTGAATAGGGCTAAAGTGCTAGACTGCTAGTTCTTTTCAACATTTTAAAAGTTCAGATTTAGTCATGAAGTCCCCTTTTGCCCTTTTTCTGTTTAATATAATTAATTAATGGTATAGAACTTCCGTATATAATTAGTTGACCTTCTGGTCCATTGTTCATATTTTAGCCTGGTCATAATGTCTCTAGTGGATCTGGCGCATGGGAAACACAGACACATTCCATATAGAGATTCTCGACTGACATTTCTGCTTCAGGTTTTTGATAACTAAATCTCTTGAGATAATTTTATTTACTTCACATGTGGTTCCATGGGTTTGAAATAGATATGTGAAATTTGGACGCAGGATTCACTGGGCGGAAACTCAAAAACGACAATTATTGCAAATGTCAGCCCCTCCATTTGGTCTGTTAAAGAATAGTTTTTCTTTGACTGATACATTGCATAGCTTTCTTGCATAGACATTTTCTTTCTCTTTATTTTATTTACTTATTTTTCATTTTTATGTAAGATGATTCTTCATTTTGATGCAGTGCTGCATATGAAACACTAAGCACTCTGAAGTTTGCTCAGCGTGCCAAACTTATTCAGAATGATGTACTTGCTTCAACCTTACAATATAATATGTTCACATGCGCGCACACACAATCATGAATTATACATGAATGATTCTGTGCACGTTAGCAGCCATACAAGTGTTGGTTTACCATTTTCTTCTTCAGGCTAAGGTAAATGAAGATGCATCAGGTGATGTTAGTGCACTGCAGCGCCAAATTCAAAAGTTAAAGGTAATTGATTAACTGGAGACTTTTTTAGTTATATATGTATATTTAAAATGGTGGACAGACTAAGAGACAAAAGCTTAAGTGTTCCTCATTCTCAAGCAGGGTCAGTTGTCCTCCCTAATGAAGCATCAAAAGATCCCATGCTCTCCATATAATTCTGTGCCAAGTATTGGAGAATCTAAATCTGATGACTATTCTGAAAAGTATGAATATTCTAGAGAAAGAGCGATGGATGATTATAAGGTAAAAAAATCCTATGCAAGAAATTGCAGTTCGTTTCCACATTAAGGACTACTCTTGGGGTAACTTTATCAAGTTCAGCATTTTCATCGCTTATACATGTATTAGATGAAACGCTTGGAGGCTACTTTAATGGGTTCCTTAAGAAGAGAAAAGGCAGCGGAAATTGCAATCCAGAAATTAGAGGCAGAAATTGAGCAAATAAACCGCTTGGTAAGTCTGATTGTAGAAAACAATTAGAGTTCTTTGTGAGGGATGGCTATAAATGACTCTAGTAGCAGTGTTTGCCAAGTACGCTTCTGTTGAATTATAAGTAGGAATGGATATGATGCAAGTTATTTTACAGTGAGTACATCTCTCTTGCAGGCATGCCAGCGGGAGGAGGAAGCACAATGTACTAAAATGATACTAAATTTTCGAGAGGAGAAAATTCAAAAAAATGAGTTGTTGGTCAGTGGCTTAATATCTGCTGAGAAGTATCTCATGGAGGAAAATAAAGCTTTGAAGGAAGAGATTAAATTACTAAGAGCGAAGATTGACAGAAACCCAGAAGTTACGCGTTTTGCATTGGAGAATATTAGACTTCTTGAGCAGCTTCAAATGTATTTCCCCATTAATTATTTTTGCTAATGCTATTGGCGGATTTATTCTGTCCTTTCTTAATGCAATACCTTAATCACTGTTTTTGCCAGGTTACAAAATTTTTGTGAGCAAGGAGAACGAGAAACACTGCTTGGTGAAATATCAGAATTACGAGACCAGGTTTGAGGAAGTTTACTTTATTAGAATGTTAAATTTATGGAGCTTTTGGTGATACACTGAAATTCCCTCTTGACATACAGCTTCTAGAAGTGCTTGAAGAAAGGCCTAGATTCTCTTCTGAATATGAGAAACAGGTTAGAATGTGTAATCTTGCTGTATTTGTAATATGCTTTAAACTATTTCAATTTCTAATCTGATTGCTTTCTGACATGCAGGGTGGTGACACTATGAAAGAGTTGGAAGATTGCAGGAATATGAATTCCAAACTGATGAGGTATTTGTAAAACAATACATTTTACTTAAGGATTGTTTGTTGGTAACTACAGGAAGCATGGGCTCTTGAGTTCTCTGCTAGGCTTTACTGGGCTTCTTTCCATTCTCAAGTTTCATTTTGAAGACACCAGTGATATTGGTTGATATTTTCCATCCGTTCCTTGTTATTTTATTTATTGTTTATGTCTACAGGGAAGTAGATGAATTAAGAACAGAACTGAGGAAACACATGAACTACACAGGAGAAGAACCAGAATCTGTAAGGATAATCATGAACGACTGAAAGAGCTGTTGTTGAGATGACTTAATCTGTGTCCCTAGGTGGATTAAATTAGTTGCATTCTTTGCAGGTTGCAGTTACAGATTCTCTAGCCAAGGACCCTGATGATTATTTCTTGGGGAATGTGGGGATTGACCCAAAGGCTTTGCAGGACAAGTTGGATAAGTTGACTAAAGAGCTTGAGGAAGCCAGAATACTAAATTTCAATTATGAACAGGATCAGGCACTGCAGTCATCTCACCTGCAACAAGCTGATTTAGTTCGTGAACAGGTTGAGATGGAAACAACCAAAACAATCCTTCATTTGCAAGATGAGGTTGCTGCCATTCAGCTAGAACTTTCTGAGAGACTATCTTGTGTAACTAAAGAAAATTTAAGACTAAGAAATATGATTGCATCTAAAGAAGAGGAAATAAGGACAATTTCTATGGAGTGGGAAAGAGCAACTTTGGAGCTCACAAGTTTCCTTCTAGATGGCTCTAGATCTATAAAAGATGCCTCTTGTCAAATGAAAAGTATTGCAAGCTCAATCCCTCAAATCAATGTTTGGGTTGGTGAACATGTTGAAAGGGCTGCTAGAGTTTGCATTGAAAAGGAAGAAAAGATCCTTCTTCTGCAGAGAAGTTTAGAAGCTGCACAGAGAATGGTAGTGGAAATGGAGCTGAAGTTAAGTTCTCTGGAAGGTGCAACAATAGCTTTGAATGAATTTCAGCAGGCAGCTGATGAAGAGACAGCTGCAGAAGAAGCTGCATTAAGCACCCTGTTGAATGACAAGATTAGAATGGTAATGATGCTTGAGAGTGAACTCAAACTTAAGGCGGATCGAATTATTGAGGCAGAAAAACGAGCTGATGCTGCCTCCCTCACTCTCAGATGGCTATTAGATTCTAACAAGGTTGCTTATGGAGATGAAATTGAGAGGGATACTCTCATCCTAAAACTGGCTAGTTCTTCTGGAATGTGTGGTGATATGATCTCGGAGAGGGAGGTTGATACAGATTCTGCAACAATGGATGGTATCAAGGTTCAAGCTGAGTTGGCAAAGTCAGTGGTCTTGGAGTGTCAGAACATTCTTAATGCATCTTTTGTAGGCACAAAACTCCATTTATCCACTCTCCAAAATGACATTCTTAATGCCTTTTCAGCTTATAAGGAGATGGTTCAAGAATTGCGGACAGGAATTCATGAGATGAGGAGTAAGTCATCAGAAGCAAAGTTTTTGAAATGCCATATGCTTTGTCACCTAAATGATGAACTTATCCTAACAAATCATAGTCTTACATTCATTAAAGGTTGCATTAGAGCAAAGGCAACTACAAATGTCTTTGCATTAAGCGATGAAAATTTGATTGAAGCAGATGGATGTAGCACTGATTCTTCAACATCAAGCTCTGATACGTCAACTGAAAGCTTTGCTTCAGGAAAGAACTTGAATGGATCATGCTTCTCTGGAAAGACCACAGAAGAGGTGGAAGACCTGAAATTTGAATCTTGTGGTGATCAAGAACCACAAAAGTGGCTCACAGAAAAGATAATTCATGAAGAAGCAGTAACACTCAGCCTGAAAAAAGAGTTACAGAAGGCATTTGATTCTTTCCATAAAATATATGTTGGATTAACCACACTTCTTAATGTGAGTGATGATAGAGATTGCTCTTATGGAGAAGGTACAAACTTTTCCTTTCTATTTACCCTTTTCAATAAATCATTATGAGATATATATGTAAAATGGGTAGTTAACCAACTCCATACATTGCAGAGATGAAATATACAATTCCATCTTTTGTGTTGAAGGCAGAAGCAGACTCCAAAAATGCTAGAGAGGTACGCATTTATGTCGAATTGCCAATGTTATTTGTTTGCAATGTATATTATTGTTTTACTAGGAACTTCCACTATTGTAAGTTGAATAAGTGAAAATGACTTGCTCTTTATTCTGTTCAAAGTTTTCCGACTCACAGGCAGTGGCTGATGAGAAAATTAGTCATACTGGAAGCTTTTTAAAAAAAATTGAGGCAGCCCATGCAACCATGAAAGAAGCTGAGTATATGTTAAATGCATTGCTGAATCAAAATAAAAATGCTAAAGAATCAAATAATATGTTGCAGCAAGCAAGTGAAGAATTGATGGCAGAGAGAGCAATTTTGATTAGAGAAGTTGAACAACTCAGGTACTTGATAAATTTGAAAGAAAGAGAGAATGAGTCACTGCAGGACCAAATGAATAATAGTTTGGGTGAAATATCAAGCTCAATCACTTTGCTTGAAAAGTGTTTTCTGCAAATGCAAAGTCAAGCAGAGGACAGTTTTGAGGTTTTGTATTCTGATATCTTATCTACAAAGCAGGATATACTTAATTCTGTTTCCAACTCCAGATCAGCTCTTGAAGATACTTTCTTAGAGATAATAGAGAAAGAATTTACAATGTTTGTTTTGTATCAGTGCCACGTAGGAGACTTTTTCCGAAAAAACTCAAACTTCAAAGGAGAATTAGGTGCTCAAATGTACAGAAAGCAAGAACAATATTCAGTGTGGAATACTTTTAATCAGAAGCACTTGATTGGTCAGAATGACTTGGTGGTTAGTTGTAAGGGAGGAATAGAGAAAGGGACTGACAATGAAGAAATGGATTATTCAAAGGAGGAAGAACCAGATCTTCCACATGATGAGTTGGTATATGAGAATCTCTCTCTTAAGAAAGAATTGGAAAGAAAAGAAGTTTTATTGGAGGGTTTGCTTTTTGATCTTCACTTGCTGCAAGAATCAGCCTCCAATAGAATGGACATCAAAGATGAAAGTGAAAAACTAATTTTTGCTTTAAGCCAAGTTCGTCATGAGCTAGAGGAGAAAACAATGCAACTTGATGATTTGTTGGTTCAGCATAGCAAACTTGAAAATCAACTGACTGATGCTGAAAATGCTCTGTTTATATCAAAGTCCAATCTGGAACTGGCTAATGGAACAGTGGAGTCTCTGTTGGACCAAAATGCTGAGATGAGAGTGCTTGTAAAAGACTTGTTTCTCCAAAAACATGAGGCGGAAGATCGAATAGAGGAACAGAAGGAGGTGATCAGAGGTTTGGAAAATGAAATCATTTATTTGAATTCCTCAGGGGAAAAAGACTTACTCTCGTCAGTTGAAAGTGCCGAGGAGAAATTAAGAGAGGTTGCTAGTGAGAGAGCCAAACTTAATGAAGAAGTCCACTCTTTGAATGATAAGCTTGAAATGGCCTATGCATTGGTTGATGAAAAGGAAGCAATTGCAGTTGAAGCACGCCAGGTATTCATGACTTTAATCTTTTTGATATCAGATTTATGCTAGGTAGATGCTTATTTGACTGAAAATGAATTTTTATTTTTACTTTTTGTAGGAGTCAGAGGCAAGTAAATTGTATGCTGAACAAAAGGAGGAGGAAGTCAAGATCTTAGAAAATTCAGTTGAGGAGCTTGAATGTACCGTAAATGTGTTGGAGAAGAAGGTTAGGTCCTTCCTAAATTTCTTATTTGTATTGAAATACCTTAGAGTTTTCATTAAAGATAATAAGAGGGCATTCTAATTCTAAGTAACAAGTTTTTAAGAATAAAATGAAACTTGCATATGCATTCTTCTATTCTGTTTATTTGCCATTACCTTTCTCTACAAATAATGGAAATATCTGTAATGAAATGGTTTTAATCTTAGGTGTATGAAATGAATGAGGAGGTGGATAGGCATCAATTGATCAGAAATTCATTAGAGCATGAACTCCAAGCAATGAGAGAAAGGTTGACAACATTTGATAACTTCCATGCTGTAGTGGATTCATTCAACAAAAATGCTGGACACACTGAAGATCAGATATCTAGGTTAACATCTCTTTGCTTTTCTGTTACGAATTCCATATTGCTGTTTCTACTTTTTTCCCAGGATGTGTAAAATAGTTTTGATGCTGGTAATTGTAAAACAGGTTGTTGGAACTGAACGAGGCTCATGATAGGATAAGAATTCTAGAGAAGGAAAAGGCAGAACTGAGTAGTGAGGTGAGTCCTGACATAATATTGGTTTAAAGATGTCCATAATCCTTTTAAATGTGCAACATCACTTAACATCTCCTTTCTAATATTTCAACGATGAACTTTTGAATATGCTTTTTAGGTTAAGCAATGCAAAGAGTACATCTCTGAACTTGTATTGCATTCTGAAGCCCAGGCAACCCAGTACCAACAGAAGGTACTGTTTTTGACTATTAAGTCCTATACTCTTGAAAGGTTAATATTTTTATCATTTTTTGTTACATTCATATGCCAAATTCTAAGGGAAAGATGCAATGTGGACTCACATTACTAAGTTTCTAAATTTGGCCTTAAAAATTGTCTTCAAATCCACCATTCCTTGAGCTCTTTAATATATGAGCAATGACAAACAAAAAAGAAAGAAGGATGAGAAGGGGGAGATGAAAGAGGAGGCGTTACAGCAAAAAGATCAATTACATTCCTTACCCATCCGTGATGCTGTCAAAGCCATGCCAATTTCCCTTCACTATTCTACTCTTTTTATGAGTATTCCCATTAACTTATCCCGTTTAAAAGCAGAACTAGTTATCTTGTTGTACTTGGCAGATTCTAAATTATTACTTCAGTTCTTAACTGGTAATAAGCATTTATGTGTTAGATACAGACTGTGTAAGAATTCAATATTGTCTTAAGTGTGCCTGTTGATAATGAGACATGATCTTTGATGTCAAACCTTTGATGCGCCATGTCCTTCCTACCCTGATTCATTGAACAGTACAAGACTCTGGAGTCCATGGTTCGTGAAGTGAAGACAGAACTATCAAATTCAGCATCAATAGCACCATTGTTGGACAAAACTGAGAGGTGCTCAACAAGGACTAGAGGATCGAGCTCACCATTCAGATGCATTGCAAATTTGGTTCAGCAGATGAACTTGGAGAAAGATCAAGAATTGTCAATAGCCAAGCTTCAAATAGGAGAGCTAGAGGAATTAGCAGCCAATCGACAAAAAGAGGTTAAATTTTGTGACTTGTATTTCTTATTTTGGCCTTTAATTCTGTAGTTTCTATTTTTATCATGTTAAGCTGCTTCATAACTTAATGCCCCATGACAGAGTATGTATTTATGTCCTTCTGAAGAGTCAGACTATTTTTGGTTGGCCATGACTAATAATCATTTACATCCTGACTGAAATCTCATATTTTGGCTAAATAATTTTCTAGCATTGATTTGTATCTCTCTAATGCTTAAACGCTTTCCTGTAAAGTCTAAACAGCCATGTCAATTCACTTCGATTGTTTCTATAGCATAGTCAAAAACCAAAAACCAGACGTTGTTGTTGGCAATTTCATCCGGATTAGAAGCAAATTTAGGCTGAAATGTCTAACTCGGTCTAAACTGGAACAGGTATGTATGCTGAACACTAGGCTGGCTGCTGCAGAGAGTATGACACATGATGTCATTAGAGATTTACTCTGTGTTAAACTGGACATGACTAATTATGCTGTAAGTTCTTATCACCTTTAAGCTTAGACTCTCTTATTTCTTTTAAGCTTGAATTTCTAAGGTATACTACTAATCTATATTCACATCTCACTTGTCTTCATGCTATAGAACTTAATAGACCAGCACCAGGTTCAGAAATTTGTGGAGGACGCACGTAAGCAAACAGAAGACTTCCTTGAAAAGGTATTCCTAAATAAAATTTTTGTTCATTGATTTCCCATGATAATCTTGTAATCCTACTGCTTTAAAATGTTGTCCTAGGAACAAGAAATTCTTAAATTGAGAAAGCAGATTCATGATCTCGTTGAGGAAAGAGAGAGGTAAGACTACTTTCCCTTTAATAGGAGACCAAAAGTTTGATATCAATGGAGTGGTTATACTCATCTACAATGTGGAACCAGAATCGAGATTCACATTATCTCATAACTCAAAATAACCAGCATAGGCAGATTACCAAAGTTAAAAGTTACAAATCAAGATTGACCTTTAGTTTAAATTGAAATTCAGAACCTTGCACTAGGAATTGATTTAAAATTTCTTCCCACATGATCATGTAGAAAAGCAAAACAGGAAAAGATGGGTTATTAAATGAATATCTTGTTACTGTAGTTGTACATCTGAAGTAAAAAGGAAAGATGCGGACATACTTGCCATCCAGATGAGTTTAGAGCAACTCCAACAGCGAGACCAGTTGCTTTCTGCACAGAATGAGATGCTAAAGGTAATCTTCTCTCGTTACAAATTCTTGCAACTTTATTTTGGGTAATGTTCATCTCTCCAAGTTTGTGGTTTGTTCTCTCTTGCTTCTAACAGATGGACAAGACCAATTTAATAAAGAAGGTTGCAGAACTGGATGAGATTGTAAAAGCATTTGCTGGAACTCAAAGTAACCAAAAGCAAATTCGACAGGCATCATCAGATATCAAGGCATGAGTCAATATCAGAAAACTTTCATTTTACTACTCAATTACTTACATGTTTTAAAGTCTTCTTCATCTAACAAGAGAATGACTCACTAAATTTGTGTACTGTCGATTTTCCTAAGATGCTGGCGACCTCCGAAAGGCGTCGAGCGAATGATGAACTGGCTCAGTATCGTAAAGCAAATGGCCATCATCTACATGACAAAACTTATGGACAAGGTCACCTCGAAGCAAGATATAGGTAGATTTTTGTTTAGAAAGATGAACTAAATTATTCCATCACTAAGCAAAG